GCTTGTGTACTCCTTAGCTGTCAGTTGGGCATGATGGTTTGGTGGTCTCCCATATTGGTTCTGGCAGTCAATCTGTCATACTTTGACTCCACATTCTTTAACATGCTTTTACCTGTGATAGGAGCCAGTTTCTGTCTTTCTATTACCTGTGTCCTTCAATATGCACTATGAAATAAACCGGTCTGACCCACCAAGCATGCCCAGAGTGCTGGAGAGATAGCTCAGTGGTTAAGAGCACTTAGTCTTTTCCCAGAGGACTCAGGCTTGATTCCAAGCACCCACAAGATGGCTCACAACTGCCTGTAACCCCCCCCCCCGCTCTGTGTTAACCCTTTACACATTTTATTAAGTTTATGCCTAAGTATCTTACCTGCTTTGTAAGTGGATCGTATTTGTGACTTAGATTTTCATGTATTCATTTTCATGCATACAAATGCACTTGGGTTTTGTGTGTTGATTTTGTATGATTTTTCTGGCCTTGTTTAAGCTTAGATTCTTACAAATTCCGTTTGGTTTCCTAGAAAGACAATAATTTTTCATTTCCATCTGCGTGTTTTCTCTTTTTTTCTTGATTGTGGCCTTCTAGAACTTCATGTACTGTGTTGAGTAACAGTGCTATGTCCCCAATCTTACCACCTTTAAAAATTTTTATTTGATTAGTGTATTTTGAGACAGATCTATCTATGCAGCTATGCCTGGATTGGAATTCACAATTCTCCACCTGGAATTCACTAAACTGGTCTTCCAAAACCACCAATTCTTCTCTTGACTGTGTCTATTCTACTTTTGTGCTCAATCTTGAATTATTTCATCTTCCTGTACTAATTACGTATTTTCAACTTAAGTATATATGTATTCCTATTCTCAAATTGCTCATCAGTGCCCCTTCTCTCCTTGATAATCTTTATCTGAGTTACTTACAGGCCACATGGTATGATTGGATAGGAAATATGTCCCCAAAGGCTCAGGTGTGGAAGGCTTGGTTCCCAGGGCGATAGCTGGAGATGGGGCAAGTGACTGTCTTAGACGGGCTCAGGGGCTGCTTTGATGGCATTATTGAGAGGTGGTGGCCTAATTGTAGGACACCATTCACTGTGGGCATGCCTTTGGAAGCTCCATCACGTCCTCTGTTCCTCCGCCTGAGTCCTTCCTGGCTACTCTGGAGTGAGCAGCTTCCTCCCACACATTCTGATTCATTGTGCATGGGCCTGGAAGCTACAGAGTCCAGTGACCATGGACTGAAACCTCAGAAGACATGAGCAACAATAGATCTTCTCTTCTGCTAAGTTGTTTACTTCAGTTTTTTGTCACGCTGACAAAAACCTAAGATGCTACATCCGATGACTTTAATATCTGGAGTTCCCACAGGCCTCTTTCTATTGTTCATTTCATTTCCTCTTGATCTGTCTCTCAGGTCGACTGGTAATATTTGACTCAGTGCCAGACCTTGTGGATGACAACGTGTCAGCGCTCTGGCTGGGGCTGTGTTCCTTAAGGCAGGGCTGTTTAAAAACCCTTCCAATGTTTACAGTAACAGCAGAACTGTGGCCGGCTCCCTCTTGAGTCCCAGGCGTCGTCTTCAGGCTTTCCCTGGAGCTTTCCTTAGTGCGCCCTGAACCCCCCCTTGTATCCACCCTCCCCTGCTCTCTTCCTGTTTCCTTCCTTTCTTCTTTCTCATGCGCAGCATACACACATGTGCATGTTCATAGGTCTTGAGAGTTGAGTGTCTTCTTCAATTGCTCATTTATTTTCATTTATTCTTTTCTCAAGATTTATTTTCATTTTGAATACTCACCATTTTGTTTTGCTTGCATGTACACACATCACCGTATGCAGCGCAATGACATCATGCTAGAAGAAAATAGCAGAAACCCATAGACGCCTATAGACAGTCCTGAGCCACCCCGTGGGTGCTGGGGACCCAGGTCCTTTGTAAGAGCAGCAAGTGCCCTTGACCACTGAGCGATCTCTCCACTCCCCCCCCCCCCCATTTTTTGAGACAGTGTTTATCACTGAGCATGGAACTCACCAATTTGTAGAGATGAGGTATGCAGGTTCAGGAATCTGCTGTTTCCACCCTCTCAGCACTGGCATCGCCGTCATATACCACCGTGTCTTCTTTAATATGGGCGTTGGTATCGGAACTCAAGTCTCCATGCTTGTTTGACAATTACTTCATTTACTGAGCCATCTGCCCAGCTCTCCATTTTTTATTTTCTCACATTGTTGAGACTTACGTGCTTGGCCTAGTCTTTTCTTGAGTTCTGTGTCACAGTGGCCAACTGCCTTGAGGAGGAAGGCCAGCACGCAGCCCGCTCACGCTTTCCACTCTTCCTTCTTGCCAGTGTCATGGGCCCTCCAGTCCAGACTTCTTTGCCAGCTCCTGGAACAACCCCACAGCTGTTTCTGAGCTGTGTATGTCAGCTGGGCATGATACTGTGTGGAATTTTGCATCTTCGTGGTCATTTTTTTTCCTCCTGGGATGGATGGATAGCTGCAGCTAATGCTCTGGCTTCAGGCAAGAGTCTGGCTGTTGACTTCCATCAAACACTTGGAGAGAGTGTACAAAAGAAGTTAACAGATGCTTGCCTGAGTGCCTCCTTTAGCTTATTAATGCTGTCAATAACATTAATTTCCCGTGTTAAGCTGGCCTTGTGCTTCAAGAGTGAACTTGGACATGAGGTGCTGGCTCTTTCCATGTTGTTAGAGTTGATTGATTGGTTGAGTGAGATTGGTCATGCCTTTTATTTCTTGTTCTGTCTTTGTCAGGGTGGGTGTCAGGCAACACTGTTCTTTCCAGTGAGCTTTGGAGTTTCTCTCACTGTCTGATCTCTGATGTGGTAGGCAGGTCTTCTAGTTTCATTTATGTTGCTGTGACAAGCTCCATGACCAAAAGCAACTTAGGGGAAGAAAAGATTTATTTGGCTTACAATTCCAGGCACAATCCATCACTGAGGAAAGGAATTGAAGGCTGGAACCTGAAGGCAGACCTACCAGCTATTATGCAGCATTCCATCCAACAGGAACTGACTCACAGCCAAGCAAGTACAGCAGAAGCCATGGAGGAACGCTGCGTGATGGCTTGCTAACAAAATTGTACTTACCTAGCTTTTGTAATACAGCTTAGTGCCACCTGTCTTGGGAATGGTGGTTCCCACAGTGGGCTGGGCCCTCCGAGATTAATTAGCAATCAAGACAATCCCCTCCAGACAGTCCAATAGGCCAGTATGATCTAGGCAGTCCCTAAGTTGAGACTTTCCTTCTTAGGTGACTCTAGGATGTATCAAGTTGACAACTAGGACACCAAAGTTCTCTAGAGGAACAGAACTAATGTGATGTAAATATCTATAGCTACTTCTCTCTGTGTGTATGTGTAATAGAAGGGAATTAACAGCTATATGTAGTGACTCAGGCTTTTAATCCCAGCACCCAGGAGGCAGAAGCAGGTGGCTCTCTGTGTTGGAGGCCAGCCTGGGCTACATAGTGAGTTTCAGAACAGCCAGAACTACATAGTGAGACCCCATATCAAACAAACAATCAAGCAAGCAAACAAACAAGAACAGAAGAGGGAGTTTATGAGACTTCCCCAGTATGGTTTATATAGTCCAAGAATGGCCAACTGCACTCAGGACGGGCCCACTATCTGGCAACTGCTCAGTTCATGAAAGTGGGTGTCCTAATCTGGCACTGGAGACCCGGCTCTCCCTGGAGAGTCACTGGTGTTGAAGCCTGTATGTGAAGGCCAAAGAAGCTGGAGTCATTGATGTCAGCAGAGGATGGTGGCAGTGGTGGTGGCTGTGGCAGCAGCAGCAGTGGTGACAGTTGGTACACTCCCCCGGGAAGAAGAGATGGCAGGCAGGCAGCACTGCCTTTTCCTCCGATCTCTATGCCGGGGTTGCTCCTTGGAAGGTGTCCCCCACTTTGGAGGTGAGCTTTCCCTTCTCTGTTAATCTCTGAAAGCACCATCACAAATATGCCCACAGGTGTGTCTCCCAGGTGACTCCAAATCTGTCAGGTTGACAGGTCTAACTGCTGCAGTCAAACAGACTTTCACAATCCTAGCTATCCTTTGTTGGATGTTTAATGATGAAATTTCCTGAGGCTAGTGTTTCACTGGGCAGAAGATGGTAAGTTATGACTTCAATTTAGGACTTATCATATTTTCTATTACTGTGTTGGAAGGCATTTTCCTGGGTGTTTGTCAATTCATTTAAAAATTTAAATATATGAAATAAAACTATGTATTTGTATCATACTATCATATAACCATTAACTTGTGGATGCACATGGAAGCATGTTAATTGATCTACTGTTATTAACGGTGTGTGTTAAGTTTCTTCATGCTATATGTATACTGCGGATGTGTGGGTGCCTGAGAAACCAGAGGAGGGGAATCCCCTGGACCTGGTGTTACATGTGGTTGTGAGCCATCTGAAGAAGTTGTTGGGGGCCTAAATCGGACCCTCTGCAAGAGCAGTAAAGCATCTCTCTAGTCTTTGGGGATGTTCTTTGAGACACCGTCTCACACCACGTGCAGCTCTAGCTGATCTGGAGCCCAAAATGTAGCTGAGGCTGGCTTTGAACTTGTGTCAAATCACCTGCCACTGCCACCCAACTTGTCTCCAACATTTAAATTTGTTGTTATGTTTCTTTTTGTTTGTGAATAATATATCCAAAACATGGGAATTCAGTTTCTCCTCTGTGAACTGGTTTAGGGTTTGTCTGTGTTTTCTGAGTGTTTCGTCCTCATTCATTATTTTCATGGCTGTGTGTTAGCCTGTTTCTCTCTTGCATATTTTTAGATAAGTTCACACATTTGAGTTTTTCCAAAATAATTGTTTAGCACTTTAAATTTCCTTGTATACATATTGTTTTAGTTTCATTTCTCAAGTCTTGACACATTATATCCTTTTTAAAAATATTTTTATTCATTTATTTTTATTTATGTGTGTGTGTGTGTTTGTATATATGTGTATCTTATGTGTCCCTGTGGAGTTCAGAAGGAAGTACTGGATCCCCTGGCACTTGTGTTACAGACTTGTGAGCCTCCATATGACTACAGGAATTGACCTGGGTCTTTGTGAAGAGCAGCCAGACTCATAACCACTGTTTCTCCAGTGCCAAACGTGCAGTGGGCAGCATTCTTTACTGCCATTTAGGGTAAGTACGTTTCAGTTTCTACTGTGAAGCTTGAACCCGGGTCAGGATCGTTTTTCTTGATCCCCCAGCAGTGTCTTTCTAGTTTTCCCTCGGTGCTCACAGGACCTGACCTGGGAATTGCCAAGGCTCGTAGAGTACTGGAGACACGTTTTAGCCCAGCATGCAATCCACTTTAAAAACATTGCCTTTTGCATGATAAGGAGTGTGTATACTTGTTAATTTTGTTATTCAAATTTCCCATGTCCCTACTTGACTTAGTGAGAGCCGTTTTGCCTGGGTGTGACATGACCATGACTGTCTTGAAGCTGAGTGGTTGTGGGTGACTTAAAGACCTTGGTCATAGCATGACAATAGAATAAGCAGAAAGACAGGTGGACAGTGACTGTAGTGATGGGGCTTCCCTGTGGAAGGAACAGGGACCATCAAGGGACCTCAGCTGAGACCCCATCACACTCCCTACTGCTCCAGCTGCCCAAGGTCTTGGGGGTGCTAGTTTACAGTGAGTGATGATGGGCTGAGGGTGTACTCGGGGTAGACTAGACTCTTCAGTGGTACAGAGTTTTCAGTGCAGCCCGTGCTGAGAGCAGGACTTGTTGGTTATACACTTGCCTCTGAGTCACCTATGCCCTGGTATAATTGATGCCTGACTCTGAAAAAAATGTGGTTTGAGTGAGAGTGGTGTGTGTGTGTGTGTGTGTGTGTGTGTGTTCCAGTGGAGGCTGGGGGAGGGTGTCAGATCCCCTGGAGCTGGAGTTACAGGTGGTTTGAGATGCCCAGTGTGGGTGCTGGGAGTTGAACCTGGGTCCTCTGTAGGAGCAGCACACACTCTTATCTGCTGAGCTTGCTGTGGTCTTATTAAAATAAACAAACAAGCATTTAGGTTCCTCCCTTGAGTTCCTGCTCTGACTTCCTTGAATGATGGACTGCGATGTGGAACTGCAAGATTAAATTAACCTTTTGCTTCCCAACTTCATCATGGAGTTTTATCACAGCAACAGAAACCCTAACAAAGACACAGACACATAATTTACCCCCCCCAAAAAAAACCCAGCAACGAAACTCTTGCCAAAACTCATGCCTGGTACCATGTTACCATGTTTCTTCTTTCTCTATTCTTGCCCTGCCCTATATTTCTCTTGGCTTGAGTTTTCCCAGCACATTCTCACTCCCACCCAAGCTTGGATATCTACAATCTATCTTCCATTCTTTTGGCACTTATTCAGTTTGGACATTTTTACACATAACTCTTTGAGACGGAGCCAGCCAAGGTCTGCAGTGGCCTCTGGAGCAGCCCATGCACTAGAGAGCACATTGCTCCTTCGTCCTGCCTTCCAATCTTCATTTTGCCTGCATTGGTCCAGCTCCAGAAGGCCACCACTATTGCTGTTATCCCTGGGTGTTTGGGATTCCACCCCAACTTCCCCCACTGAGCAGTTCCCTTGCTGTTCAGTCCCTTCTAGGATGGGAGAGGAAGACAGTGGAAGGATATTGGTGTTAAAAGACACCCGTTTGTTCTCTGAGCTTTCTGGTTCTCATCCTGTGACCCCCAAACAAGATATTGAGGGCCTGCTGATTTCTCAGCTCACAGAGCTTGGTGCCTACAGGATGACTCCACACCAACTTCCTCAGTTCCAACAAAGCCTTGGCTGCATGAGGCCATGGCTGCCGTGTCTCATGGTGACTCCAGCCTTGTCGATGCTGACCTGAGACCTTCACACGGCCAGAAGCCTCTCCTGCTTCTGCCTGACCTCCCTTTCTAAGCCTTAAAAAGGTTTCTGATTGCAGACTGCGTCTTCTGTGACTCAGAAGACGCCTCTCCAGGTTGTTAGAGCCCTTGCCTTGAAATGTGACCATGATAAGGACCCAGTTTAAGGAACACAGACATGGCAGGGTAGGACAGACAAGCTGCCTGTGGCATCTGCGAGAGCAGCGCTTGGTTCTCTTCTCCTCTCCACCTCACCCGAGTCCTGTACTATCTTCTCTGTCACCACCTCTAAAACACTGACACCTGCACACAGCGCTGTCACCTGTATCAGAGTCACCCAGTGCATCTGTTTTCACTGCTTTAAATAATGTTTATATGAGACTGTCTTGGGCAGACCTGAGGCTCAGTTGGTTTCAACCTTGGGCCAGTGAGGAAATGTTCCAGTGGCCTCTTGTGAGGATGGTTCTGGGATATTATTCTTTAGGTCCCTGCTTGGTTCCTCTGCACTGCCTCATTCTTGGGTAGTAGCCCATCATGGACATTCTCCTGGGCTCCGTGTGTCCTGTATTAGTGTACCTTCTCCAAAACAATCCTGCTTTCAAGGTGGTAACAGTAGGGCTGCTGTATGAAGTGGCATATGTAATGCATCTATCTGTCATCTAACTACCCAATTTTCCATCCATCCATCCATCCATCCATCCATCCATCCATCCATCCATCCATCTATCCATGTATATGTCATCCACTCAAATTTTCATACAAACACCATCTACCTGTCATTTATTCAACCATTATTCATCCAACTAATTTTCTATCCATCCATGCTCCCATCCATCCATCCATCCATCCATCCATCCATCCATCCATCCATCAATACAATATTCTGCCCATTACCCATCCTTTCCATTCACACAGCATCCATCACTATCCACCTGTCATTCATCTATCCATTATCTGCCTGCTTTGTACTTACCACCCACCCATCCATCCATCCATCCTTCCATCCATCCATCCATCCATCCATCCATCCATCCATCCATCCACTTATATTCATTAATCAGCATTCACCTACCATTCTTCTGCCGTACACTATCCAGCATTCTTTTTTTTTTTTTTTTTGGTTTTTATGAGACAGGGTTTCTTTGTATTGTTTTGGAGGCTGTCGGTCCAGCCTGGTCTGGAACTCACAGAGATCCGCCTGCCTCTGCCTCCCGAGTGCTGGGATTAAAGGCATGTGCCACCACCACCCGGCTCCAGCATTCATTTTAATTCATTCATCCAACCCTCTTATCTACCCTATGAGACAGCTTGCCATCTTCTTGGGGTTTGAGGTGTGCATACATGTAGGAGGCCAGACAAACAAGAAATACAGCAGATACAGGAACGCATTGGAAGGAATGAGCCTGGATGTTGACTTGCATTGGTGAAGAGTGAGTGACTCCTTATCATGCCTCCCACCTCCCACTCAACCACACATGGGCTATCTGTGGGCCTGGGGATTTCAACAACATATAATAGCATAGCTACTAGCACTTGTTTTTGAGATTTTAAACATAGTTTTTAATTTTAAGATTTATTTTTGTGTATAAGTGTTTTGCCTGCATGTATGTATGTTCTCCACAGATGGTTGTGATCCACTCTGTGGGTGCTGGGAACCAGGCCTGGGTCCTCTCCAAGAAGAGCAAGTGCTCTTAACTACTGAGCCACCTCCAAACCCAGCCATGTAGCAATGAGTTTTGAGCAAATTCATGAGATAGACAGCAGGGTCAATCCCCTCATTTCAGCCTATGTAGGTTGAAACCCAGTAACAGAGTCCATATCTGGGCACGTGCACCCTTTGGAGGGGTAAGAACAGGCTGTGACTTTGGGTAGAGAGGAGCCGATGGTGGTCCAGCTGTGAATTCTTGACCCTGTGCTATGTGAGGAACAGCTGTGATGAACTTCCCCAAAACATCATCAGAAAGGGGGACCGCTCCGCTCCCTAGTTGAAAGTGCAGTGCTGAGCTTTGGAAGACAAAGGTGTCCCTGCTAGGAGGGATGCACCTGGCCTGGATCCCACATCTACCTGTTACTCTGAGATGCCTCACCGGTGCTCAGAACAAACTTACTCCAAACCTGGGGTTGGAGAGCCCACACACCAGCTGTCTCCAGGTAGGATGGCTTCTAGCTGGGGAAAAGTGCTGGGTAGCTACACCTTAGGGAGCTTTAGAGCTAGACCTCACCTGTGCAAGCTCAGGCTTTGTAATAGGTGACTGGTGTGTGTGTGTGGGGGGGGGCGCACGCATGCATGTCCCAGATAATAAGTGTATGTCCAGGGTAATTTTAACTCCTCTCACCCTCAAGCATCAATGCTCTGAAAATTTAGGAGATATAATAAAACACTTTTTAATGTATGTGTTGGGGGCTGGAGAGATGGCTCAGCACTGACTGCTCTTCCAGAGAACTTGGGTTCAATTCCTAGCATCCACATGGCAGCTCACAAATTGTCTGTAATTCCAGCTCCAAGGGACCCAACACCTATGGCAAAATACCAATGCACATAAAATAAAAATAAGTAAATTGAAGTGTATGTCACGTGTGTGGGTGCTTGTGGGCATCAGAACCCTTGTAACTGGAGGGACAGGGAGGTGTGAACTGTTCCATATGGTTAGTGGAAGCTGAACTTGAGCTCCCTGAAGAGTAGCAAGTCCTCAACCACCCCAGCTATTATTTCTCCAATCCTGAAGTGAAACATTGTCACAAGTAGTCACCGGGACTCTTTATTGTGTTCCATAGCACCCTCCCCAGCCTCTACATGCTTACAGCCTGCGCGTTGGAGGATGCTGAGGGTACAGCCTGCCTGTTGGAGGATGCTGAGGCCGGACTTTCTTCCTGGCCACAAGCCACGCTTGTTGAGGTCTCCTTGGCTGGTCACCAGGGCTGCGCTGGGGCTGACAGCTGTTGAACATCCTCAAGCCCTTCATAGAAGAGGCGCCTGAGCTTTGCCTCCAATGTTGCTGCTATGGACTGCTGACTGTCAGCTCTGAAGTCCCATGCTTTCTCAGCCCCCCCCCCACCGCGCTCCTCTGCTGTTTCCACATCTGTGGAGGAGAGTGAGTGCAGTGATGGAGGGTCCTCAGTGGGCACCCAGGGCCGTGCCTGGCCATCACTCAGCTGCTAGCCAGGCACGCCCTTGGCCCAGACCATCTCCAGCCCCTGTGGGCTTCCTAGTCTGTGCTCAGATAACCCCCAGGGAGGCCTGGGCTGGGCACACTTTGCATTCCTGTCCACTGAAGTTTGAGGTGGGAACCTGTGTGCAGAATAGGGCTTGTTTGTTTTCACAGGTGGGAGAGTGGGGGGTCGGGTTAGCTCTGTTCTCAGTGAGTACCAATCACATAGCACCGAGCAATCAAGCCACCTCATGGAGGAAAACAATCAATCTTTCATGAGGCTCTCACACCCGCCCTCGAATGACAAACACTTTAATTCCAAATTAAATACAGCAACACAGCTCTGATGAGGCCGTTGTTCCAAAGCACCGTCATTTTCCATCTCTTTTGGAGTCGATTAAATTAGTCCTAATTAGAGGGAGGTAAACAGCTCTGGAGGACATGCCTTTGCTGCTGAGGTTGACTGCTGCCTGAGAAAGGGACCTATTTGTGCACCCTTGGTCCTGAGCTTCCTGAATCCGCATGTGATGAATGTGATCTGGGGTTTTGGGCACTCCTGGCAGTCAGAGCAGGGATGGATGATCCCCGGACACCTCCTTGTTCCAACTTCACACTTCACATGGAAAAGAGGACCGTGTGTCGTGTTAGTGGCCGGATCCAGCTGAGAATGAGTTTGACTGCATGCATCTATCTCTTCCGGGTCACAGAACAAAAAACGGTTGGATAAGCAAATGCTTGCCCAAGGCCTCAGTCTCACTGGTCTGTGAATGGAATGTTGCCTGTCGTGTGTCTGCCACAGGGTGCAGCCTGGTGGGTAATGACACCATCAAGAGCAGAAGCAGCTCTTAGCCTGTCCTGTACACCTAAGCCAGGCACAGCAAGACACCTTCCAGCTGCTTGGGAAGCTGCTGCCAGACAGGCCTGATGTTTGCTAATTAGCTGTTGGATGTGGGACTCGACTGCTCCCTAGGCGACGCCTCTATGACAGCTTCCACCTTGTATGACTGTGTGTATATACGTGTGGCCCTGTCTATATCCCCACTGTGCCATCCTTGTGCTCTCTGCTTGGCAAGGCTGATATCAGCGAGGTTCTTGGAATGGGGCCCTGGTGTTCTCCCTTTGACAAGGCCAAGGCATTGGTAGAATTCAGTCTGATGCCTTCTCTTCCAAAGGAGTACCCAGGACTTTCCATCTACCTAAGAGAGAGAGGTTCTGTCTTCAGTGTTGACCTAGTTCTCCACCTCTGTATCACATCATTGAAGCAGCTGGTTTCACTGTCTCTCACCTGTTCTTTATGTTGTATGTTTCTGTCCCATACTGGGTGTCAGGAACAGAGAGCATGGCTTAATGGGGAGCACTGACCAGAATGATAATGAAGAAGTGTGTGTGTGTGTGTGTGTGTGTGTGTGTGTGTGTGACAAATATTAGGTCGCATGTTGCTTTGTGTGTTTATATTTTGGATCTTCCTATACGGTGTCCAACCAGGCTTTCAGACTTGAGACTTGCCCCGTTCCAAGGAGCTCTGTGGGAAGATCAGAAATCTGGGGGTACGTCCTTCTCCATTACAGATCCAGAATTCTGGGAGCCAGAAGCTGTACTACTCCTGCCTGAGGTCTCTTGGGAGTATGGAAGTGTTAGTGCCTGGTTTTGCTGTTCTGTTTGTCCTGCTGCCAAGTGTCTGATGCTGTCTTTTGGCAATAAAACTGTCAAAACCCAGCTGAGTGAGCTGAGTATCAAGCACTTGTAAACAAATCCTAAGTGGCCGGTCTCAGTCAGTTCTAACACCTCCCCTCCTTGCCCATCAGCCTCACACACAGCTCATCAGGGTAAGCGAAGGAAGCACTGCATTTGGGCTGCGCTGTATTTTGTTATCTGTTTGCTCGCCTCTAAAACTCCAGTGAATAGACCAGATGCCGTTTCCATGGCAACCGCCTCTCTTCCAGCCCTGGATGCTCAGAAAGTGAGTATCCAGCATAATCTTCCCAGGGTCTCCCGGCTCCAGGGGGCTGTTTAGCAGAATGGGAGCTGTGGTGGGTGGCCCTGCCTGTGCCTGACATGGTCACCTGTCTTTCGGGGGCCCCAGGAGTCAGGTTTTGGCGAGGCTGCTTTGCTTCCTGAGTGAGTGGCCGATTTAAAAGATCGATGATGGGGGAGAGGCCTGAGAATGAACTGCAAATCAATCGGTCCTCCTTCCCTTCAAGGACCAATTAGTTTTCAAAACTTTATGGGGGGGACTGTGACTAGTCACCTTTGTTATGCAGAGGGACAAAAGGGACATGGTTTAGTGAGGGGCTCAGTTAGAACTGAACTCGGCTCATGTTGATCCCCATGGGTGACTCTGCCAGGCTGTGTCCTGCAGCTTCTCGAGACCCAGGCAGGGTCAAACTGTGGACTCTCAGGTGGCTACCTGCAGAAGGCCTGACCTGGTCACAGCTCTCACAGGCCTGCTGTTTTGGACAGTTTTTGCAGATCGCTCACCAACCTGTAATCACACTGACGGAGGTTAGTCCGACATGGTCATCAGGTCTACCAGGTCCTCTTTGAACCTTAATCGGTCCAGGTTCAATTCAGCTTGAAATTCAGTATACAATAGCAACATTCACAGACCCCCAAGCCGGGAGTGACTGATTTATGACAACACGCATTGGTGATTTAGAGTCTTTGCACCAATATGGGGATTTCTGCTGAGCAGCAGGGCTCTGATGCGTTAGTCTGGAAGATTCTGTTGGACAGCCCTAGCTCAGATGTTCATGGCACGGTTCATAGACCTACTGTGAGAACAGAGAAGGAAACTGCAATTAGAGGCAGCTATCTCTCAGGCAGAGCTGGATGCTGTGCACCCCCTCCCCCGCCCCCGGCTCTGTGCCAGCCTCCTTATCTGTGACCTGGCAATGGCAGATCCTCCTGGACACACCTGTGAGGCTCTATCCAGACCATTCAGTTCCATCTCTGTCTTTCCAGCTCTTTGGAGAGGTTGCTCTTCCTTCCCTTCTAAAGGAAAGGAAATAGCGGCTCAGAGATGTCAAGGGACTTGCTGCAGGCACCCAGCTGCCACCGGCACTTGAGACCGTCTGCGCCTAAGACTCATGTGGTCTGACCATGCTGCCAGAGCACAGGGCGTGATGGGTCACACGGCTCAGAGCCTCACACATCAAGCTGAGTCTTGCCTTCTCCATTCTTTTTCCCGCCCTGTGGTTGCTTCCTGTGGTCAAGATACAATTCTCACCACATCTCTCAGGGTCCTAGGAGTCCCTTGGGAGTCCACAGGGCGCCCAGTGCTTCTCCATAAGGAGCATTGTGCTGTTGGTAGCCCTTGGCCCCGAGACATGTCACCAGGGAGTTTCCAGGAAGCACACATGATCACAGAGAACCAGTGTTGGGGGATAAACCTCCCTCTTCTGTATTCTACCAGTTGTGACCCTGGCCCTGGAAGTGCCATTCTGTCATCTGCACAAGGAACAGATGACGTCAGTTGTCACTTAAGGGCACAGTTTTTCTGGACTCCCAAGGCCCTGGCTCTGTGTGCATTGTAGGGAGGTAACTCTAAGTGTTCTCGATGCCTCTGTCTCAGAGGGAGTGGCTGGATGCCACCCTGGCTTTGTCACCTCACCATGTCCATCACTTGTATGCTCCCTAGAAGACTCACCATAGCTGCCACAGTAAGTCTCAAGCTGTCCTTGCCTTTTCCACCTCCTTGCCTTCCCGACCCTCAGTGTCCTTGTCTGTGAAATGGGTGATGACACTGCACCAGCCTTGACTTGTTGTCAGCGTTACCTGTGCTTCTTCTGCTAGGCCCTCCACTCCTCCACATACTAGGATGCATGGAGAGCATGGGTAGGCCGGGCAATGGTCTTTTTGAAGATGTCCTTTTTATGTGCGGGCTACTTGAAGACATTTTGAGTTCCCCATAAAGGTTCTGTGGAAGGGCTTGATCCCCAGCTGGTGGTGTGACTGGGAGGTGATTGCATCACTAGGGTGCTAACTCAGCCATGGGCTGATCCTTAGGTGGGTTCATGGGTGGGTTGGAAGTAGGTCACCAGAGGTGTGTCTTTGAAGGATGCATCTTGTCCCCAGGCCCTTTCTGTGTCTGTCTCTTGTCCACCAAGTGCTCCTTGCCGTGGGCTCAAGAGGAACAGAGCCAGGACTGACCATAGACTGAAGGCGTTGAAACCCTGAGATGAACCTTTCCTCCTTATCTTCTTTTTTTAGAGATTTATTTATTTATTTAATGTATGAGTGCTCTGTCTGCATGTATGACCTTATGCCAGAAGAGGGCACCAGATCTCACCGCAGATAGCTGTGAGCCACCATGTGGTTGCTGGGAATTGAACTCAGGACCTACAGAAGAGCAGCCAGTGCTCTTAACCGCTGAGCCATCTCTCCAGTTTCTTGAGCGGATTGTCTAAAGTGTTTATCCCGGTGACAGTGACTAACACAGGCTCCCTTCTCCCAAGAAGGTCCAAACTTTTGGCAGATGGCCAGAAGTTCTCAGGTTCCCACTGGCAGTGTCTAACTTGTATCTGCAGAGTCAAGCTAGAATCCCTTACATCTGTTCAGATGGATTTGGCCCCACAGGGGTCACCTGTGGCAGTTCAGATGGGTTGTGCTCGTGGCTTCAGCAAGTAATTTCCTAGGTGCTGGTTCTCCAATTAAATGCCCTGGCCCGATTGAAAGAAATAGTCAAGAAAGGGAAGGCTGGCTCAGTGGCTCCAGAGTGTTACAGAATGTGGTCCTTTTAGTGAAACAGCCACCATCTCCATCAGAGTATTATGAGTCAACCTGCTGATGGCGCTGTCTGAGAGAAGGAGGGGCTTGGGGTCATTGGACCCTCACTTAAGGCCTCAGTGTCTCCCTCCTGCACCTACCAGCCATTTGTAGGCAATTCTGCCCTGGCTGAGGTTTCAGGAGGTGCTAGATGTGTAGGCTGAGGGAGGTTAGCTGAAGGGGAATTCTGTCTGCGGCTGTGGGGAAGCTGGATGAAGACTTCCCAGTGAGGCATCTTTGGGGTCACCTACCCTCCTGTAGGCATCCCTTCACACATACTTTGTAAGTAGACCCAATAAATCATTGGTTCCCCAGGTTGAATTTGGTGGGAAATCATACCTTTGTTTGCCATTGGGACCTTATAAAGACGGCACAGACATTACTCAGGTCTCCCAAGGGAGGGAATTCTCAAAGCACAGAGCCCACACTTTCAGCCAACGGAGTCCAGATGATGAGAGAGGGTGTCGTGAATAAAACCGAGTTTGGGAGCTCCGTGAAAACCCAAGGAAAGGTTTCTGAGCACAGACTTGTGCTGTCTGTGACTTTCTCTGTCCTAAGGCCATTTCCACCCCTGCCCTTCCCCCAG